CGGGCCTGGATGTGTCCTGTCGACATCAGGGGTCCCCATCGCCCCACACACGCCCCACGGGGGGCAGTTTGGTGTTTAAGGGGGGCAACTCGAGAATTGAGTTATTAACCGTGAGTTTTTTGCATTTCTTATGGCTCTGGGGCCTCATGGACAGTTTATAAATGTATATTGTGACATATTTATGCATTTCAGTTCTCTGTTATGTTTTGAAACTTTGTTTACTATTTTTTCCATATCACTTTGTACTATTATTATTTTTAATATATTTTATTGATTTTTTACAGAGAGGAAGGGAGAGGGATAGAGAGTCAGAAACATCGATGAGAGAGAAACATCGATCAGCTGCCTCCTACACACTCCCTACTGGGGATGTGCCCGCAACCAAGGTACATGCCCTTGACCGGAATCGAACCTGGGACCCTTCAGTCCGCAGGCCGACGCTCTATCCACTGAACCAAACCGGTTAGGGCTATTATTATTTTTTTAAACAATTTCTTAGTGATTTCTCCCTCAGTAATTCACCTGCCCTTCCGTTGTTTTATTTTTCTCTTTCACGGATGCCATGTTCTTTGGAAGCTTGTTTGACCGAGTTCATGGCCGTGTAGGCTTCCTCCACGTGAACAATTCATTTTTCTTTTTAATTTTAACTTTTTTTAAATTGATTTCAGAGAGGAAGGGAGAGGGAGATGGAAACATCAATGATGAGAGAGAATCATGGATCAGCTGCCTCCTGCACGCCCGGCACTGGGGATCCAGCCCGCAACCCGGGCCTGTGCCCTTGACCAGAATCGAACCCGGGACCCTTCAGTCCACAGGCCGACGCTCTATCCGCTGAGCCAAACCGGCCAGGGCAACAGTTCATTTTTTTAATAATAAGAATTATATGCCATGGGGAGGAGGGAGTGGGTATCAGGATTTTAGGGGTGCTTAGGTGGGGCATGGCCAAAGACAGATGGGGACCCCCTGCTCTCCATTTGGGTTGGCTTTTCTGGCCGCTGCAGACCTCGAGGCTGAGTGGACTCCACCCGCAGGGCCCGGTCACCTTCGAGGACGTGGCCGTGTACTTCTCCCGGGAGGAGTGGACGCTCCTCACTCCCACCCAGAGGAGCCTGTACAGGGAGGTGATGCTGGAGAACTTCGCGCTCACCGTCTCGCTGGGTAAGGCCCTCAGGCTCCGCCCGCAAACTGGCCGCCTCTGGCTGTTCCCCAAGGGGGTTCCTGTTCCTCCTAAAGCCCCCAGGGTTGGTGCCCAGTGCAGGGGCCGGGCACTGGGCGTGAGCTGGTCTCAGCCTCTCGGCCGCTCTCCGTGACCCTGCGGAAGCCATGGCCTCTCTGCGCCGGGTTTTGCCTTCTTCCAACTAAAGAAATTCTCCAGGGCCCTCCCTGGGCCAGGCTTGAGCCACGGATGCGAATCAGTAGGTCAGTTTGGGGAGTATTGCCATCTTCGTGTCTTTCAATCCATGGACATGACATGTCTTTCCATTTATTTTGCTGTTCTATAATTTTTAAAATATATATATTTTTATTGTTTTCAGAGAGGAAGGGAGAGAGAGAGAGAGAGAGAAACGTCAATGATGAGAGAGAATCGTCCACTGGCTGCCTCCTGCACGGCCCACGCTGGGGACCGAGCCCGTGACCGGGCTTGTGCCCTGACTGGGAGTCGAACCATGACCTCCTGGTTCTTAGGTCGATGCTCAACCACTGAGCCACATTGGCCGGGCCTCAGTGAATGTTTAAATGTATGGGGGAGGTTTCTTTTCTAAGACTCAGGTTCCTTCTGGTTGCCATGGTGACATGGGCTTCCTGTGGTGTGTGGCCGGCTGGGTCAGCCTTCACTTGGGGGTGGGGGGGCTCTTACACTGTCTCCTAGGATTTGTGCCTTCGGGGTCCCATGTGGTGGCCCAACGGGAGGGTGAAGCGGAGCCCTGGGTACCCATCAGGGTGGGCGTGACTGGTCAGCAGAGCGGGAGATGGGAGGGGTCCTGGTCTCGGCGGGTGGGGCCGGAGGTGCCTCGTTCTCGGGGTGGACCTCCACGTGCTGGCTGTGGGTCTGTGTACACTGGCATCTCCCACCTTCCTTTCCCATCTCCCCCTGGTCAGGCCCCGATGACCCGATGACCCGCCTCTCTGCCTCTGTGCCCTGTCATTGCCCCTTCCCTGTGCTCAGGCGTCTGTTCCTCGGCGTAGACGCAGCCTCCTCACAGAGCTCACTGTCACCGGCAGCTCGGGCCGCCGGAAGCCTGCTGCAGGGGCGTGATGGGGAGGCCCCGCTCCCCGCACTGCCCCTCGCCCCTTTCTCTCCCAGACAGTCCCCAGCCGCCTCCTGGCCGTCTGTGCTCCTGGCCGTCTGCGTCCCACGCACACGGGGGTAGAAGTACACGGCCACATGTCTCCTCTCTCTCCCAGCTGTTGGCACCTGACCTTGCTGTTTCAGGGTGTCCCCGGGGACTGGACGACGCGGAGGCCCCTCCGCAGGTGAAGAGCTGCAGAATCCACCTGCCGGAGAAGCACCCTCGGCGTGGGGGGCCTGAGGAGGAC